CACTTCCTGGTGACTTTAGTGACTCCTCAGGCTCAAATAAAACCTCTAGATAGGCCTCTCTTGATGTATATCACACTTGATCCCCTGCATAAATGCTAATGCAATGCTATGATAATGCTATGATGATGTTATGCTAATGCAAAAACAAGAAGGAAAAGGTTGGGCAAATTTTGGGGTGCAACACATGGTAAACTGGATTTGCTGCAATCTGAATGGCACTGGTATTGTCAGCATGCAGCGGAGTTGGTTGTTGTTGAGAGAATCCAAGCTCAGCAAGAAGACCACGCAACCATATTATTTCAAAACAAGCGGCAGACATTGCACGATATTCTGCTTCAGTGGATGACTTTGAGACAAAATCTTGTTTCTTACATTTCCATGAAATAGGAGCATTTTCTAGGAACATACACCAACCAGTAGTATATTTTCTTGTGTCTGGACATCCATCCCAATCGGCGTCACTATATGCTTGGAGTTTGATTGATGAATCAACAGAAAAAAACAAACCTCGCTTTGGAGTGCCAAGTAGGTATCTAATGATCCATTGTACTACTGAAAGATGGAAATGTCGTGGAGCTTGCATGAACTTACTAACCGTGTGTACAGCGAAAGAAATATCTGGACGAGTGATAGTGACATAGATAAGACTTCCTACCAGTTTGCGATATTGAGTGGGATCATCAAGAATGTCACCTCCATCTCTTTTATATTTAACATTAACTTCCATGGGAGTGTCTACGGGGGTTGCATTTGTTAGTCCAGCTAGTTGTACCAAGTCTTGAATATACTTTTGTTGATTTAGAAAAACACCTTCATGATGATAATGCACCTTTAAACCCAATAAATAAGTGAGATGGCCTAATTCTTTCATTTGAAAAGCTGAATGCAGCAAGTGTTTGATTCTAGAAATAACATCTTGATCAGAACTTGTGACAACAATGTCATCCACATAAACAAGAAGCACCACAATGCCTTTAGGAGTCCTTTGTAGGAAAAGAGATGGATCATACTGACTTTGATTGAATTCAAAACCAAGTAGTGTCGATCGAAACTTTTCAAACCAAACTCTCGGTGCCTGTTTCAATCCATATAAAGATCGTTTTAATTTGCAAACAGTGTTAGGTGAAGGTGTATGCATACCATTAGGAAGTTTGATATAAACTTCCTCCTGAAGATCACCGTGGAGGAATGCGTTTTTAACATCCATTTGATGTAGTGGCCAAGCTTGTGATGCAGCAATAGCAAGAATAGTGCACACAATTGTCATCTTGGCAACCAGAGCAAACGTCTCATCATAGTCAAGTCCATATTCTTACTTATTTCCAAGCACAACTAAATGAGCCTTGTATCGATATATGGATCCATCCGATTGCATCTTTATGGAGAACACAAACTTGCTGCCTAAAGGTTTAACGAATGAGGGACATGGCACTATATCCCAAGTTTGATTTTCTTCCAGGGAAAGAAGTTCTGTTTCAATAGCTTTCTGCCAACAATTATTCTCCATGGCCTGTTTATAAGATGAAGGAATAGTAATAGAAGATAATGATGTTGTCATGCAATTGATATACCTTTCTGGTGGTTTTTTGTCGCGTGTGCTGCGTCGTAGAGAAGCTGGTTCTGGTTCTTCTTCTACTGGACCAGCAGCCAAGGAATTATCTTGAGGGGGCCCATCTGTTGGTTGGTTTTGAGTGACAGTACTACGTCTTTTGTAGGTTAAGAGAGGTTTAAAAGATTGTTGACCTGAATGAGAGTTAGAAAATAATGGTAAAACAAAAACTGGAGAAGAGACGAAGTCATGATGTGATGCAAAAAATTTTTTTATAGGAAAATGACATTTCTAGATACGCGAATCCTACGAAGGTTAGGATCATAACATAGAAAGCCCTTTTGATGAGGAGAATATCCGAGAAAAGCACATTCAACAGATTATGCAGTGAGCTTGGTGCGTTCTTGTGGAGTAAGATGAACATAACACACACAACCGAAAATACAAAGAGTGGAGTAATTTGGTGGGTGACCATATAACCGAATGAAAGGGGATTCATTACCTATTGACGAAGATGGCATTCTGTTTATAAGATGGACAACGGTGGAAAGGGATTCACACCAAAATCGTGAGGGCACATGAGACTCCAACAAAAGGGTGCGGACAACATCGAGCAAATGACGGTTTTTTCTTTCCGCTACTCCATTTTGCTGTGGAGTTGAGGGGCATGACCTTTGAGATATAATGCCATTGGATTGCAAATATTTCGGAAATGAGTGTGACATGTATTCTCCTCCATTGTCAGAGCGAAATATTTTTATTTTTGATGAAAATTGGGTTTGAACATAAGCATGAAAAAATTTGAAAGTGGAAAAGACTTCATCTTTTGATCGCAAAAAATAAACCCACGTGAAACGACTATAATCATCAATAAAAGTTACAAAATATTTGTAATTAGCATGAGATATAACTGGCGCCATTCCCCAAACATCATTGTGGATGATATCAAAAAGTTGGGTTACATTAGACTGATGTGTTGGAAAAGGCAAAATTTTACTTTTACCAAGCTTACAAGGAATACAATCAAAATGAACAGAATTAAGAGATGGAATGTGTTTATTTCCAAGAAAACTAGATTTTAGCAATTCATGAAGTACATTTGCGTTTGGATGTCCAAGACGCTTATGCCACACTTGGTAATCAACAATAGCAGAATTACACGAAACTAAAGAAAGAGAAAAACTTGGAGGCAATGAGAACTGAATTGGGAAAAGACATCCAACTTTAGGCCCCTTCGCGATTATCTTCCCTGATTGTTGGTCCTGCACAAGACAACCAGATTGTGAGAATTGTACTTGACAATTATTCTCGACTAATTAACCAACTGAAATGAGATTACTAGAGATCAGGAGAGACAAAAACATTTGTTAGAGATGAAGAAATATCACCGGTGGATGTGATAGGCAATTGATTTCCATTAGCCGTATGTATCTTGAGATTTCCAAAATATTTTTTGATATTAGTAAGAAATTGGGCATTGCTGGTCATGTGGTTGGAAGCCCCCGAATCAAAGTACCAAGAGGAAGAGGATTTACCTGAGAATCTTAGAGCAGAGAATGCTGAAACGATCATTTGTTGAACCATTTCAGGGGTCACCGTTGAAGTAGTAGTGGAAGCATTTTGTTGAACCGGTGCGGAATTGGCGGAATTGTTAGGAATAGATGAATCAACCGAGGCTGTAAAAGCTGTGACATTTCTCTTTGGTGGCCTGATTGGGCATTCCTTAAGAATATGTCCATCTTTTTTGCAATAGTTGCAACAAAAAAATTGGACAGTTTGAAGCATAGTGTCCTAATTGTTTGCAACAAAAACATTGAACATAACTCATGTCATGACTTGGTTTTGCTCATGCTACATATGCCACTGGAATAGTAGATAATTTTTTATCTTCAATGATGGATTGTGTAAGGAGACATTGTTCTTCACGTAACAGATCATTGAAACACGCATCCAATGATGGGATAGGGTTTCGATGCATGAGATTGGAACGAATGCCTTCAAATTCAGAATTCAATTTCATAAGAAATTGATCTCGTTTAGTAGTTTCATGAACAGATTGTACAGAACTTATACCTTCAGGAGTCAAGTCTGCATAAACTATATCGGTGTATTCAGCCCATAGATTCATGAATTGAGAGTAAAAATCAGAGTTGGGAAGACTATCCTGTTTAAAGAGAGCTATGTCATGTTCAAGTTGGAATCTTCGAGCGGCGTTGTTCTGATTGTAGACTTTCTTCAAATATTTCCACATTGTGGCTGCTGTTTTGTAAGGTCGAAGATTCATGACAATGTTGGGATCAATAGAACCTAGAACCCAGGACATGACTTGAGCATCTTTGACCACCCATTTGGCATGTGCAATTTTATCTTTGTCTTTGTCAGGGGCTGGAGTGTTGCCATCAACATGACCCCACAAATCTATTCCTGTGACAAAAATCTCGAAATGGAATGCCCAAGCTGCGTAGTTTTTGCCATTAAGGCGAACCAACAAGACTTCATGCTTTTCGATAGACATGGATCTATGGAAATAGGAATTGGACAAGAACGACGAATTGAGCAAAAAACAAAAGAGAAAAAAAACGAGAACAAAGATGAAACAAGATCGTGAAAAAAAAAGAAACTAGGTTCTTGTATATTAACCTAGGCTGATACCATGTTAACTAAGAAAGTTTTGGTCAAAGAACCGTATCTCTTTTCATTTTGATCTCTCATATAAATATTGTAGTTACAAGCTGTCAGATTGAATATTCAACCCACTAAATTTGCTAAACTGCCATATTTACATTTACAGCTAATTATGTTAATTAAGAGAATAAATATTACAAATAAATATACAATCTTTACAAAATTATTTCTAGGGTAATGCTAACTTGTGCCCTTGGGGCACAAGTTAAGAAATACATTTATAGAAAGTTTGTATTTGAAACATCAATAAAAATTTAAATTTTTTATTTTTATTAAAAGCAATACACAATTTCCAAGATATTATTTCTACATTTAGTTCTTAACTTGTGCCCTTGGAGCACAAGTTAGCATTACCCTTATTTCTAATAATTAACTCATTATTGCCAATAATTCTGTTGACAGGAATGAGTCCTTTGATCTTGATCAAAATACTGAAAATGTTCATTACCCTATAATGACAATAAACTGAATACCATGATACTAAAGATAACAGATAATCTCATGATTACATTTTTCCTCTCTTCCCGAAATATTCATATTAACAATGCTCCTATTTCTTCAACAAATTTTCAAAATTACAAATGAAATATTTACAACGGACTTTACAACATAAGGAATTTGAATGGCTGTTCGGATCATTTGAGAACTCATGGATTCTTAAACTAGTAGTGAAGGCGAAATGATATCACCATTCGTGCCAACTTTTTGCAAGAGTTCAATTTCCAAAAATCATGGAATTATGCCACTTCCATTTACTGTATAACAATTAAAAATCATCACATGTATCATTACCATGATCTCCATCATGAGTGCACTCATCATCGTCACTTTCACTGGGATAATAAACAATATCATCATCACCCTGATCATCAATTTCAGGATTAGCACTTCCTATTTCATAGTTGGCAGCAAGAATATTATGCGAGGTCCAATCAGGAGGAAATGTCTTTTGTAGGGCTTCAGTCAGTTCTCCAGTTCTTTCAATTTTGCGCAAATATCTCGACCAGTGGACTGCAGTTCCCATGTCAATAGTAATCTCAGATTCTATCATCTCTATACATATAGACAAGAGTCCACTATAAACATACGATTGAGTAACGGTAGCTCTGGATAGCAAAGATGTCATAAGACAATGATACACTGCTTTGTCTGGTTTCAATCCAGCCACTTTCATCTCTTCAAAACACTTCAAAGCCTTCTCTGGAAAAGCAGCACGTGCCCAACCATGTATAAGAGTGGTGTAGGTTTTGAGGTTTGGTTTTATACCACGCACTTCCATTTCTTCAATAATCTTTGCTGCATTCTGACAACCATAAAAAGTGTAAATGATATTAATAAATTGGAAAATTTGACAAATATATTAAAACCTGTTGGTGAAAATCAAAATCATGGGCTGAAGAGATTCAACACTGAGAAAGCAGAACGAGTATTATCAAAAACGTCTTGTATAAGCATTAACCAAAAATACCTTTTGTGAGAGCATGCAGAATGAATTGTAAGGACACACATAACAAGAAATGTTTCCAGCTTAATAATATTTCAAATGACAGATGAAGAAGCATGAAATGATTCAGTTATACCCTTAATAATAAATTATATTCATCAACAAACATACCAGCATATCCCCAGCTTTACAACAAGCATTTATATAAGAAGTGTAGGTATGAATATCCGGTTGAACACCTTCCTTTCTCATCTGTTGCATCAGGTCCGCAGCTTCCCAAACATCACCTCTCCGAGCCCAACTAAAATTTGAAACTATGTTATAACTAGGTTGAGAAGCCATTAAGGAAAAAATACTAAAAATATGCATGTACGTAAACATGGGAAAAAAAAAGAAGTAAAACTGAATACAAAATGCTATTTTGAAAGAATATATAACCAAATCCAAATGTTAGATAAAAAAATATAAGTACATGTTAAATTCTGTCATATGTAAAGTATTCATATTATACCCATCAATTAGAATGTTGTAGACAAAGGTGTTTCTTGGAATCTTCTTTGCACTCATTTCTTTTGTGACAGCTAGGGCACTTTGCATTCGGCCAGACTTACAGCATGCCTTCAACAATGCCTCATAAGTATATACATCAATCTCCAGGCCATCATTCTTCAATATTGTGAAATACCGAAAGGCCTTTTCAGTATCACCCAGCGAAGCATAACCTTTCATAAGAGTTGTATATGTGTGTTCGTTTGGGCTAACACCAGCTAAATTCATTTCATCCAATATTCGTACAGCCTTTTCCATCTACAAGAAATGTAACACTATTTGAGTAAGTAATATATAAAGACCGAGGACATATCAAAATGGGGAAAAAATGGGAAGGGATTGTCTCCCATGAAATCATAATCCGGTTAAATCTGAGCTACTTAAAATTACAATAGTCAATGAAAGAGAAAATATTAAAGGTTCAGATCTACACTTCTCCCTCTCCAATGGAAATCACACCGGAGAGAATCCTTCCCAGAAAAAATAGTCATAATAAAATAAGAATGCAAATTTAACACGGGAAAATGTACTAGACTTTTGACGAATTAGTAACTAGAAAAAAATGTTCATCTGGCAGAACGACTACTCAAATCTAACTTGCTAGCACCCCCTGAAACACCCTCAAACGTTGGTAGAGTATTGTACCCCTTCCAATTAATTGTTAGGTCTCCTATTGTTAGTTAAGAAGTTGTTACTTGTTAGTTAAGTAGTTGATTAGTTAATGGATGTAGTTAGTAGTTTGGTTGAACGGTAGTTAGGCAAAATAAATAAGGCATGCTGCCTATATATAGATAGGAGGATTAGAAAGGGGAGCATTTAGTAATTTGAGAGGAATATGGCCTTATGGCATTGGGCAGTAGCAGACCCTTGAAGTGCTGCTATTGTTGTAATCAAAGAGAATTCTTCCTCATTTTTAGTATAATATACCAGTTGGTTCTTTCATTAATGTTCAAAGTTCTCACTGACAAAAAGTAAGAAACCCACACAAATGTATCTAACATCTCTCATGTAACATGAGAGGCTCTTGTTACTACCAATGTGATCAAATAAACTTGATTATCAAAGGCTAGTATAAAGAGACGGCCACAGCTGGAAAGGATACACAACATAGAGTAGGGTTTGGTTGCCACAGGAGTGGGACAAGCATGATTAAGTGAAGATCGTTAAAAGATAAACCCAAAGGCAAAGAGTGAAGTTCGTGATTTATTCAATCACTGCTCTGAATTTATCAAGCAAAGTGAGCTTGCTTTACAATCATTTATTTACAGCTGTGCAAAATAAAACACATAATAAAGCTAGAGATGCATAATTAAAACAATAAAATTCTTAGAATTTGGGCATAGAGTTTGACTCGACCTGACAAAATAGGGTTTTAGAGTGAAGTGTGAGGACCGCCTAAACCTTATTGCTTGTAAACACTACTTAGCTCATACCCCTATGTGATGTTGGACTAAACACCCCTTCACACCCAGCACACAGAAGGTGCTGCTGGATGCATGCAATGAAGGCAACCCAAAGTTGTTGCAATTAGGCAGTTAGAGATGGACTGTAATTAAGGTGGCTTACTACCAAAAAACTTCCTCATACCCAAGTAACTATCAGATACTAAAACACAGGGGCATTTCCTTTTTTTTTTATCATCAGGTCCTCCCATCAAAAAATTGGGTGTATTATCACTCCAACAAATTTAACCTTCAGAAAAAAGATATGTTCAGCACTTCTCATTATTAATAGTCATCCTTATTTTTAATTTTTTCGCAATTTTTTAAGAGCACATACTGCAGTTGGCACTTAATCAATTTATTTTTCCTTTTTGTAATTGAAATAAACATAAAAAAAATTAAAAATAAGTAGCAAAAATCATGTCAAGTATTTTGTATCTCAATTCACAATGGTTTGTCAACCACGAGTTACCTGACACTTCTCAACAAGGCCAAGAATAAGAGCATTGTATGTGTGTACAGTAGGAATGCAGCCATTCCTTCTCATCGTATCGAAAATCTCCAAGGCTCTCCTTGTCTCTCCGATTTTAGCAAAACCATGTATAATGGGCAAAAAGGTACGTGTTGTGGGTCTATGCCTCTCCTTTTGCATTTTCTTCACAATACAAATGGCACGATCCATATTACCCATCCCACAAAAAGCTTTTACAATATTATTGTAAAGTATTACATCAGGCTTCAAACCATCTTTAGTAATGTCTTCAAATATGGAGAATGCATTGGCCCAATCTTTCAATTTCACGAACCCATTGAACAGCATAGAGTAGGTCTTCATGTTATGTTTTATACCAAGAGTTTTCATCACTCTGCTAATCTCCAATGCTTTAGAAATTTTTCCTATCTGAGAAGAAAGATAAACAGATGTAATTAACTAAATATCTCAAAATCCAACCCGTTAAGCAAAGTTAGAGTACATAAATCATATATGCCATGCTTAGTTTTTGTGTGGTGAAATCTATGTCTTTAATCTCGGATAGATGCTGAGTGGCCAACCTTGAAACTGCGATAACATTATAGTGCGTAGTGAGATAGCCTCTATATACATTGTGTGTGTCCAGGCGCGCGTGTTGATAGGGAGCATATTGAATAAGAGTGGTTTATGGTGAGAGACAAGGTGGCAAAATAATATACATTAGATTAACACAAACATTTAAGATTAAAGTTTTTTTTTTCCTTTTAAATCTGAACGTGCCTTTTTATCTCTTCTACCTGCATCTTACTCTTCATTTGCCCAGCTCTGGCACGTGTGAAACTAGTGGGATGCGGGTTGGAGAAAATCCAGTAACGATTAAAATGTTACTATAAGTCACTTTGCAAAAAATTTATGTCCCGAGTTATAAGTCACTTTAGAATTCCAATACAACATTAATGACTTTTTTCCTAATATACCCTTTATCTTTTATTTCTCTTTCTTCTTCCTATTCCTTTAGTACGCTTACCAATATAATTAATGAAGGGCAGTTTTGTAAAGTCATGGATCATTTCACTTTTTCATAAAGTAGTAATTGCATTTCTTAATTCGTGTGCAATACCCAAAACGTCTTATAATTTGGGACAGAGGGAGTATTTATCAGGGGCTTCGTTAGTGCAGAACGATTGGAAGTTGGAATCAGCTTCAAAAGTTGTTTTTGACTTCTTATGATCATAACATTTTATTTCCTAAACCTCATCCTTAATTGATTAAAATCATACCATTTGTGCAGGTGCAGCACGATACAGAAATAGGAATAGAAAAAAGTCAGAACTTAGATCACTAGGCAGAAAGATGAATTAGAAAAGTCGGTTTTGAAATTTTAAAATTGTAAGCAGGAATAGGTGTAGAACAACTGAAGAAGGACTAGGCACGCATACCTTGTACCTTGGAGAATAAGAACACTCAGTTTTTAAAAAGAATATTAATCTCAACAGTTACTAATTTTTATCCTTGGGATATGATTTACTCCTCTTATGCCATTTCTCACAATAAACCGCTCTCTCATTTGATATGCTCTGTCTATATATAAAACTATTATTTAATATTATTAGTTATTAAAAGTGTTTATAATACCTGTTTTAGCATAAAAAAGTAATGAAAATTATTTATCAAGCAATTAAGATTAAATAACTACATCTAAATATTATATTTATTTTTCATATTTTTGTTTTTATTATATATTTTAAAATATTAATTACTCCCTCCCTCCTTTCAAAATGAGGGTCACTTTAGGCTAGAAAATTTGTTTCAAAATAAATGTTACTTTCACTTAACAATGTAGAGTTAATTATTTTTTTCAATTGTGCCCTCAAATTATTACTATGTATTCCAAAACATTATATTTCACTTTGCATTTATCATGTCGAGAAACACACAAATAGTTAATAAGGTTAGTTAAGCAAAAGTGTCGTGTCTTTTAATAGTTAATAAGATTACTTAAGCAAAAGTGTCATGTCTTTTAACATTATTCTATTACTTAATATGTGTGTAAAAGACACTCATTTTGACACCAAGTGTAAAAAGTTATATGCACGCACACAAGATAGATATAATACTATATGTCTCATAAAATAAGGTAAAGAACTGTGGTAGATTTGTGGACCTATCTAGCTCCTATGCACATGGTTGAATCCTATTTATTTTGTCCATTATATTGATCTTTCGTGTCAAATGTTTTAAGAGATGCAAATGTAATCAAATAAACCATAGTTTTGGACATTTAAAATTTATACATTAATCTTAATATCATTTTGGTTTAAACAATGTTATTGTTTATTGGTAAAATAATAATCAACATATATGATAAGAATTTCCAATCAAATATTTGGGAGAACCCAAAATTTACATGAAAAACAGGCAGTAACTGCTCAACGAGATAGATAAACACAATAACAAAAATAACCAAATAAAAGGTAATGAAATATCTTACCTTGGTGTAAAGATTAATAAGACAACCATAGCTGACAATCGAGGGAGAAAAACCACATTCCTTCAACGGAAAATAAATCATGTTACACAGTTGTTCAAATGGAGCGGCAGACAAAAGGTTTTAGATATCATGTTTAATAGGTCAAGGTGATTAGTAAAGCAATATATCAAATGCTAAATTAAGTAGAAAATAAAGTTTTATATAACAAACAAAAACAGACTCCTTTCCTAAAAACAAAAAGTAAACAAACATCTTATACACTAGATATATAACTGGATATTGTTGATTATATATTTTCTCAAACAAAAATTTCATTGTGACTGATAAGTTTCCTTGAAAAAGCATTGGAAATGAGAAAAAATTAATGTCACAAATCAGCTAAAAAATTGGCTTGAACTGGCTCCGATCAACAACCAGCACCTGGAAGAGAACACAACACAATACAAAGAGACCAAAACAGCCAATTGGTGCCAAGAACACAGAAATCCATACAAGACGTTGCCAAAACAGACCAATCTGACACAAACAGCATAAAAAGCGGGGAAGGAAGTTCAAAAAAGGAATAAAAACATGATAACCCATGTAGGAATAATGTAATTTGTGACGAGGAAAACAAGTTGAAGCCAAACAGGGGATATAATAGATTATCTTCCATAGAAACTGGGCAAAACATACAGGAGAAAGCCAAACAGGAGCAGGTGAATCTCAATGGCCAAATACATGGCCACATGGGGAAAACCACATGGGAGAGCGGCTGAAATATTCCACTGGACCTGTGGACGGAGAGAGAATGTGCAGAAGATTGCAAGAGGTGTAGCACAGCACACTTCTATTAGGAAAGTGCATGGCTGTGCAGTAATAGGGAAACCCTGCGGTAGGCTTTAAAGTGCATGAAAGAAGTGGGTAGGATATGAAGATTCCAATGGCCAAAGTGATAACACAGTATAGAGACCATGGGAGAGGAAAGAAAACAAGGCAACTCTATGCCATAGTCTTTAAAGCTGCCTCCATAAAGGTATCCACGGAAGGGTTGGACGCATTAAAAATCAAATGTAGGCAGCCTTACTTTATATTAGGATAAATTGCCAAAATTTTGAATTATGATTCAAAATTCAAGAAAAAATCTAGAGTACAGGCAAAAGTAAAGAAGATCTACATTATCAAAAAGAAGCTTACATACAAGTGGATCTTCTTATGAGCTGGAATATTTTCTTTTCATTGAAATAATTCATAACAGCACACAGCAATAACATACAAAACTACAAAGCCAATGATCACAGAAAAACTTATTAGCACGCTATACCTTAAGTCTTTCAAACACAATTAAGCATTTCTCTTCATTGCCAACCATTGTATAACCATCCATCATGGTATGATATATGTCAATAGGCGCATCTATCCCTTGTTCTTCCATTTCCCTCACCAAGGCTTCAGCTCGACCCATTTTGCAAGCTTGACTGTAAAACACATCATGATATACAAAACAATAAATAAAAAAGGAAAGAGGAAGGAAATTGAATAGAAGTTACAATCAATTTCATAAACCAAAACCTAAGGAAGAATAATTACCAAGGCTCAAACATTGACCACACTACTGAATAACAGAGTAATGGTTAACTAAATATTGATTTAATTAACCAACCACTTGAATGGTAAATGTTCTTGTCTTAGTAAACACTACTACTTGGATAAGTTTTTTATGTTTTTAAAATTTTGCTGCTATGAACAGTTTAGTTTAATATTAAAGATAAAATAAAGCGAAAAAACAGAAGAAATTGACACATAAATTTGAGATAGTTCTACATAAATAATTTACCAACAAAATATGACAATCAAATGTTCTGGATAATACATATAAATTGATCTAATAAAAGAAGACTGAATGCTCACCAGTGCGCATAAATTATGCTACCATAAATGACTGCATTTAAAGATGGAAGCCTCTCTTTGGCCTCCTTAAACCAGTTATCTGCAGCACTTCCAAAGCAACATCAAATAGTGTTATCTCCAAGATAGAAACTGATGCTTCATTCTTCACTCGGTAATCAACAGGAAATCAAAATTATTTTCCTAAATCAAACTATACCAAAACTTTCACACCAGCACCAGGAAACGTTACAGAAAACATGAGTGGGGTTATTTAGGTATAATATGAGGAGAAAAAATGAGCAAGTTCAGAGTCAATCCAATCACTTAATATGAGGAGAAAAAATAAGCAAGTCCAGAGTCAATCCAATCACTTAGTAAACTTCATATTTTAGGGGTGGAGTGGGTTGGGGTGGGGTAGGGACGAGAACCAATCATATGCATCATAATTGATACAATCATATAGTTTACCATGTTTTTATGACAAAAGAGAGAATAAAAACCCCCTAATAAGGAGGTAGTTATTAAAGGCATCTAAAATAGGTTCCACAATGAAGAGATTAACTTTCCTGGTAAAAATAAAAAACTCTACAGCTTCTTAAAAAACTGGAAAAATAGTTATTCTACCTATAAAGCTCAGAGGCAATATGTTGCTAGAATTCCATTCCCACCTCTATTTATTTTCAGTTGACAGTTTAGTATATTTTTTAAGTTCAGCTTGTCAGTTACTCCCTCCATTCTCTTTTATAAGCAAATTTTGACTTTTAGGTTCATTCAATAAATAATGTATTTAGACTATATATATAAACGAGATACATCAATTATTCAATGAACCTAAAAGTAAAAAATTGTTTATAAAAGGGAATGGAGGAGTACATAATAAATATAAAATCTTTCCCGTACTTAGATAACCCAGAAACCTTTATTCCATTTTCTGTCACAGGGTATGCTTCTCAAGAATGTTGTGTTGTTATACACTATATGTAGTAAGACACTAATTATGATATTGTTTAATTCTTGTCGTTCTTCCCATTAAATGGTTTGTTGTTAAACACGACTTATGACATTGATCAGTGTAACCAATCCCGCCTAATAAAAGATGTTTCTTTTTTTGTTTTTGTTTTTGTTGTTGTTACATGTTATCAAAGCTCTATGACCAAGCAGGATGAGTTTAATCCTTTTCGTCTCTACTTTCAACAATCTTTACACAAAAAATTCAGCACAAAGCACCCTTGTATTAGTGCTATCAGAAAGAATAAGAAAAAAAACGTAAAACATTGATTTAGCAATTTGATTGATCTATTTGACAACATAGTTATAGACATAATTTTGAAATTGATTGAGTCATGCAAAGAGGGAATTTGCATTATTTGTGTTTCAAGCCCAAAGAACTCTTGCATTACAGGGGAGGGGAAAGTTAAAGACAAATACTCCCTCCATTCACTTTTATAAGCAAATTGTGACTTTTAGGTTCATTCAATAAATAATGTGTTTAGACTGTATATAAACCAGATAAATCAATTATTCAATGAACCTAAAAGTAAAAAGTTGCTTATAAAAGAAAATGAAGGGAATACAATTCATATAGATTGACGTAAAAGCATATGCCCTTCAAAGTGTTAGATTTTTATAAAAACATTTGAACTAATTCTAGGAAACAATACTTTAGATGAAAAGAAAGTCAAGGGAGAAGTTTGTGTAGTTTACTTACTCAGCATTGCCTACTTTAGCAAATCCCCCCACAATTATACTGTACGTCACTATACTCATTTCAATGCCCTCTTCTTTCATCTTTTTAACACAATGTAATGCTTCTTCCATGTCTCTACCAACTGCATAAGCATGAATAAGACTGCAAACATTTAACATGTATTAATAATTAAAGTCAGAAGAAAGAATAACCACAATGCATTTTTTTTTGTATAAAAGGAATTTAATTTGAAAAGAAAAGAAAAAGAGATGGCAAAGGGAAGGGGATACAATATTCTCCTTAAAACCAAAGAACATAATAGAACACAAAATCCAAAAATTTTAAAGATATTTCAACCCCTTTAAAATATACCAAACAAAATCCCATAACAAATTTTGGGAACCTTGCATTGCCCTAGATAAGATCACACACGGGCAAGGGAATCTGGCATGGCTTGGAACTATGTAGTAAGCTACATAGAAATATAAAACTAGAAAAGTGTAGTGAGAGAAGATAATGAGGTAATGACTAATTAGTCAATATAAAATGCTGTGATATTATATCTGTTTCCTTTGGTCTAGTCTCATAATGACTAAGAAGTCAATATAAATGTTGTGTTATTACACCTGTTTCACGATAAGCATTTGATTTGATGTTTCCTTACATCAGTGCTTATATGAAACGATGCTTTAAATAAACGTTCTCTGCATGATCTGATCCAGTCGATATCAAAATCCACGAGGTAAACCATAGTTATCAATCTTGGATAGCAGTGAAGGGAGGCTAGCCCTAAAAACAATAGCATGGTAGCACAGCCGGATGGCGCTGCGTCAAAAAGTACCGGTCTAACATTAAGCCAAAATATGGCGTCAGATTAAAACCTCTAAAACAAAAGTTCAACTGATTATATTAAATTACACCACAGCTCTAGCAAGAAGTCATTTTAAATTCTACCTGCTGTACACATGTGAAGATGGCTCAATTCCTCTCGCGCGCATGCTCTCAAATGTTTGACGTGCATGATGCATGTCCCCTCGTCGTGCATAATATTTAATCATCAAGCCATATTCTTTTCTGGCAGGCTGAGAAAAGTATGAACAAAATAAAACCAAGAGCAATTACTTATTATCCACATTAAAAAAAATAAAAGTGAAAATCACAGGTGCACATTAAACTTTTTCATGCAACAGTGCTTATTCTTTTAACCCGATTATTAATGTTTTGCACTAGCTAGGGCCTGGTGGACTTGGAATAATATCATTGCATAAATAACTAAGTGTGCAAGCAAAAATTGGATCATACAGACTGGTATAACTGAAGAGAACCAAGGAACCTATTATTAATCTATCGTAGTTAGTACCATCCCCATGCTAAGTCCCAATCTCTTCACACCCACTGTCCATGTCCCTTGACAGAAACAATCCAAAAATTAAAAAGCCCAACCTTATATTAATTGGTCTCGGCATAACAGAGCAGATGATTTACAGTTCAGGCTTACAACTTCGGGATTTCTACAAAACAGCTTTGATGTCTTTAAAATGCATAGTTAATGGATATTTAAACAGACAGTTATCAATCTTGTTTCAACTTTCTCTTCAACTGTTACAAATAACAAACTGCTAAATTGTCAGTGGGAAACTTGCCAGCTGAACCGAAAAACTCCAATTTGGTCTTTACAAATCACAAATATTAGACCTTCAGTCTTTTAGACACCAAATACATTATTCCCTTACAGAAGTAACATGGATGACTATTGTGATTTAGAAGAACCAGTGTAGGGTATTTTCTTTCTCAAAGATTAGTGTACCAACTATCAAATTTCTTATGGACAAATTTGGGGGTTCACTAAGTTTAAAATACTATCATTGACCCCTCATTTTCGTATGACTTCATGCAATCCATCACTGTTAACCCTTACAAACGAAGTACACAGCAAAAAGTTCATGACATAATTATTAAAATAAAACCCATCCCCATGGAAAAGTCAGACATGCATCTTATGTAAATTTCATCCCCGTAGAAAACTCATTCATGCACATTTCATCCTTCAATTTCTAGAGGTACACCAAACTGACCCTTGCAAATACCTTATCTACGGAAAAACTCTAAACAAGGAACCTTCTAACAAAACTGAAAAACTTGTGCAGCAGATCCCACTGCAAACTATCATATTTATGCAACAGATTTCACTGCAAAACTACCAACATAATGCAACAAATTCCACTGCAAAACTACCAACATAATGCAACAAATTCCACTGCAAAACTATCCTAATTATGCAATAGATTTCACTGCAAGACCATCAACATGTAACACCACCCTTCAAGTTGAAGGCATACACTCGCATACGGACACTTTTGTCTACATGAAAGTGCCATGTCCAGTGTTTATGTATATGCTTCATATTCAACCCAGAATCAACAATTGAAGAAACATACACAAAGTGCACAGTAAAGTTAAGATGATCAACCTTCTTAATTCTTTCGAAAGCACTTACAACCTCCTGCCAATTCTCCGGCGCAGTTTCCATAACCTTCTGAAACTCTATCCGGGAACCATCCCTCTCCTCGTGCCATGTGGACCTGTACTCCTTCTCATCATTCCCATGCAACCACTTTTCCCTCTCAAGTCTTTTCTCCCTCCACATCTTCCCATCATCAAGTTTAACTGTCAAGACTCTTCCGTGGAACTCAATACCATCGAATTCCACAGCCTTCATGGCTGAATTCTCTGCAGTTTCGCCATCATAAATAATAAACCCAAATCCCACGTTCCTCTCTGTGTCATTGTGACCTTTGATCAAAATCACGGTTTTTATCGGTCCGAATTGCCGGAAGAATTCCGAAACGTTTGGTTTCTTCACCCACCCTGGTAAGTTTCCTACAAAGATTTTCCCTGGCTGCCGGAACTCAGTCCGGGAGCTCTCGCCTTCTACTTCACCTTCACCGTCTTCAACATCCTCTTCTGAGATTTCAGCCTCTGATTCCGCCTCACGTGGAAGCGGAGGAGGAGGTGGCGGTGGTGGTGGAGGAGATAGTTTGCTTGTGAGCCAAAGCTTGTTAGTGAGGGGATTGGAGGAATGGAAGGGGTTTCTGAGAGGATTTGAAATTGGTGCGGGTTTATGGTTAGGGTTAGGGTTAGGGGGAGGAGTGGTTGTGGTTTTGATTTTGAGGGGTTTAGAGGGACGGCGGAAGGGGGCGGGTGCGGGAGAGGCTGAGTTGTTGGAGTCGGGAGGCGGTTTTAGGGAGCAGGAAATGGGCGTGGAGGTTGAGAGAGAGAAAGATGAAGGATGGTGTCTGGAGTGTAGGGAAAAGTGTGAGTGTGAGGAGGATAATGAAAAACAGTAAGCTTCCATTGTTATCGTTTAATCGTAGCAGAGTCTGGAAGTGCTTGGTTGAAGGGCTCCAACACTACGATAAAACCGAATATCAGTTCTGTTAAATGTATATATTTTTTAATTTCTATAAATATATTTCAAATTTTGTTTTTTATCCTTCTAAGTGTCATCCTAAGACCACTTTAGAATGTGATATAATCTAATTAAAATTAATTATTTTAACGTATTAAAATTTAAAAGAGAATAATTTTTTTTTCTCATGTTTTTTTCTTTTATATATATATATATATATATATATATATATATATATATATATATATATATATATATATATATATATATATATATATATATATATATATATATATATATATATATATATATATATATATATATATATATATATATATATATATATATATATATATATATATATATATATATATATATATATATATATATATATATATATATATATATATATATATATATATATATATATTAGAAAACCCGTGCGCGTGTGTAAAATAAATTTATAAATATATAGTTAATTTTGATAAATATATGTGTATTAGAGTTAAATGAAAGACAATGCAATTAAAGTGAAAGCAATATAAATTAAGAAAACAGAAATTGAATATGAAACAACTAATATAAATGAATGAAATGGTAATGTTGTCAACAAAGGAGTAAAGTAATAATATATAGTAAAAGAGAAATAGTACAACAAAATGTCACTTAACCGACATTGCAAAATAATGTGCCTGTTGGAGTTGATATCACAATGTTGACCTGTTAAAAAAATTAATTAGAGAACAATTGGATCATTTATTGTAATGGAAAGCTTAACCAAAGAGAAGAGTATGATTGTTATACCTTCTAAATATTGTGGAAAACTTCTTTGAATACAACGTTAGTGGTAGTAGCAGCGGTATTGTTATTTTTATCATGAATCAAAATTCTAAGACCTTGTTTTGTCTTAACTCGGGACATTGCGACATACAACTGACCATGACTAAATACATCCTTTGGCCGGTATAAACCAACTACGTCTAACGATTGACCTTGTGATTTGTTAATTGTCATAGCAAAAGAAACAATAATGGGAAATTGTCTTCTCACTAACTTAAATGCTCATGGTGATTGAGAGGGGGACAAAGACATTCTTGGAATATAAATTATGTTACTTATATTCTTTCCTGAAATGATCCTAGCTTCAATAATATGATTAGCCAACCTTGTAACTGTGAGCCTTGTACCATTGCATAAACCTTTCGATTGATCTAAGTTTCTCATCAACATAATAGTGGCACCAATTTTCAACTTTATAGAATGATTAAGCAATCCAGAAGTTTTAAGAACATTTAGAAATTCAGCAGTTAAGTGCTCAAATGCATCAAAGTCGATTGTTGTTGATCTATCAATAGAATCACTACTAAAGTATTCTTTTTCTTCTCCTAAAAGAAAAAAAACAGACAAAATATTCAACAAATAAAAAATGAAGTCAAAAATGAAATTAGCATGAAAACAACTTCACAACATGTATAGTGCCTGGAAGAAGATATGTGATATATTGATTAATCTCATCGACAACTTCAATTGTTGAAGCCAAGATAACACGACTTTGTAAAAAATTGGGGTCATGGTAGTTATGAATGAGATCGGGATAGGTACTATCAACAATAACCTTAATAGGATGTGAAAATTTTGAAATTAAAAACTCTTCAGGAATATTAATTTCAACGTAACCATCATTAGCCTCACCCGTGGTACCATCTCCAATTGCTAAAATCCACTCAGAAAATATAAGAACTTCTTCAATTTCTTTTGAAGTTGTCCCACTTTGTAGGCGCATATTTTTTGTAAGTTTGAGTACTTTGCACTGATCCCAAATATAAGAAGCATTGATAGTTGAATGAATAATATCAGATATACTTTCTCTTGGAACAACGGGAAAGATTTGTCTAAAATCACCACCAAAAATAACTACTTTGCCTCCAAATAATTTATTTGCAGCCTGTGGAATTTCACTCATAATGTCTCTCAAGGATTTATTAAGAGCCTCAAAGAAAAATCTATTAGCCATCGGAGCCTCATCCCATATAATAAGATTTGTTATCTTTAAAAGCTCAACAAGATCATCTTTTTTGTCAATGTTGCAAATTGATGAATGCAACGTAGGGACAGGTATCTTAAACCTAGAATGTGTTGTTCTTCCACCTGGTAACAACAGACTTGCAATTCCACTTGATGCCACAGGCAATTTTATGTTTAGAACGAATAGCAGCAGTGAGAGTGTTCCACATAAATATTTTACCTGTTCCACCATAGCCGTATAAAAAAACACACCACCATTTTGTCTTTCTACGGCATCCATGACATCAAAGTAAATGTGTTTCTGCTCATCTGTAAAAAAACGTCATGTGACAACATATTTCAAAATGAGAATTTAAAGCTTTATTAGGCATTGACTTCAGTAAATGCCATTGAGGGAATCAACTATAAATAATATAAGTTATAAACAATAAGTATTGTATTTATCAATATAATAGTTCTAAACATGAAATAAGTTGGAAAAATATATAGTTTACGAATGTAATTTTACCTGTAAGAGATGAGAAGAAAGTATCAAAAATAATTTTTTGAGCATTTGAATCATATTGTCTTTCTTCATAAATCAGACGGTTTCCAAGAAAAGAAAGTACAAAGTCATTTGGATATGGCATTGACTTGAAATCTTTCAAACTTCTATTGTTCTTTTATAACTGAGTTTCTATTTCAATCAGAGTAAGTTGTTTTAATTCTTCATTGATAAGTGTTAATCATAATGAAGATAAAACAATACAGTGTCAATATAACAGTTAACTTGTGAATAAAAGTAAGAAATTAAAATGAATATAGGGTGTACCTGGATTTCTTGTTATGACACGTTTACTGTAAAGAATACCATCAACTAAGTAGTGCCATGTTTGATTCCAAACATGCTCAGGTCTATTCATTGATGAAGATAGCAACATCGTAACAAATAAATTTCTTAGAAATAAACCAGAACCCCACTGATGCGCCTCCTTTAAAGCCTCAATAAATTCTCTATCATCTTGTAGAAATCTCATTGCAAAACATGCTTCTCTAAAAGAGTTATGTTGTGAACCATTGACCTTTTTGATGTCTTCATAACTTGTTGGTCCTTTCTTAACAGTAAGCATCATTCGTAAATAAAATAATTCACCTGTGCTTTGAGGAACCCAAATGAGACGACCAATTGTATACCCTTTTTTTCTAGGCTTCCAAGTCCTAGTTTTCTTTTGGTAAACAAATTTTGTCACAAAATCACTATATGTCAACAACTTAGCTTCATCATATATATTTGTTTGCTTCAAATCATGCAGTAAACATAGATTCTATGACACTTGGTTTGAGTAGAACATTACCAATTTGCTCAAAGTCTTTGTAGTAAACAGAATTCTCACCTTCCATGTGAAAAAATAGTCTTTCCACGACCAGTTTCCTACCATGTATAGAATAAAAGAAAATCCTCCAACATGCCCCACTCGGGGAAATGTATCTACAATCAAGATATTGCTTGATCTCATCAACATTCTTCTTCTTACCATCAGACATATCACCAGAAGAATGAATAACAACAGAAATTCTATCTGAACCCTTGTTAATATACTTGAATAAGTATTTAATCGATGTGTTTTGGTTGCACCATTCCATGTTGATGTGCACCTCGTACTTCAACAATAAACTTGGGTTGTGAGGAACTACATGTCCGTTGTGAAGAATGATTCCATTTTTATCGATTGTGTTTCCATTTCTCTTCTCCTATAAAGTGGATAACCATCTTGATCAACTATGGTTGTTGACTAAATTTTTTTTGGGTAATACTTTGAACATTTCCCATCTTTCATGCAAGGTGAACTTTGATTTGCCAATCCATAAGGTCCATGAACCATATGAGTTTTAACCAAGTTGTATAGCTTTGGTTCCTTCGTAGGATCAGTGATTTCAGCACTTATAATCCTATCAATATCTTCGAGTCTTGGATATTTGTTAGAAGGATGCAAGAATATCAGTATATGTGCATGTGGCAACCCTCTCTTTTGAAACTCAATGGTGTACATATCTACAAGAAAATAAATTAGTAAAAAGTAAATTGTAATATTGTGTAACAAATTGAAAAGTTACGGTGAGAAAATAAAACATACATGCAAGCACCTTGCCTAACACTCCCCTTTTTGTCAAATCTGATAGAAACTGATCAAACTTGATTTTAAACATCCTCGAAATCACATCAGGACGATCTTGGGGTTTTTGTCTAAGAGGCCTAAGTAACCTTTGTATTTCAGGCCAATTTGGATTGCAAGTGAATGTTACAAATAAATCAGGAAACCCTACCTTGCCACAAATAGAAATTCCATCATAGTACAATTGATCCATAAACCTCCTTCCACCAACATAAGTAGAAGGCAAAACCACTCTTTTTCCTGTTGAAGAACCATGTGTTTCACTTTGTTCACCCACTTCAGTAAGACTGTTGTATTTCGACACCCTTAATTTGGGTTGATTTTCACGAATCCATTGAAGTCTTTCGGACTCTAACATTGTGTAACCATCAACTAAGAATTGTTGAAAAAGCCTTCTTGAACACAACAATGTTTTAGCCTCAAATGATCTGTTCTGAATGCGAAATGCTAGCCACTCTCTAATTGTAAGTCTATTTCTCTTGTTGTCTTGGAATATGTCTAAGTCTCAATAAGATATGTTTGGTCTATAACCATATTCTCCATAAAGGGAAAATTAAAGGATATTGATACGCCAAGTAACTTGCATGAAGCTCGTTAATTCTTTGTAACTCTCCACCTTTAGTTTGCATGATGATATCCCTCATTTCTGCTGTATCAAGATCACCAACTATCAAAGCAGCAACTTCAGAAACAGTAGGTTGATTATATACTCTTCCATCTATGGATCTATTAGAAATGAGTCTTAATTTCAGGTTTTGTGTATCTGAA